ATGTTGGATAGGCAACATGTTAAAAGATAAAAAGGCACGAGAAAAACATTGCTTTACAAACCTTAAGATTTAATAAAAAAATTTGGGTATTTTGTGTATGAAAGCATTGTAATGTTTACTGGTAATCTGCCAAATCTCATTAACATAAGCTTACTAATTTAAAAGTTATAGTATGAAAACTATAACAAGCTCAAAAATGGTTACGAGGTCAGTCCCAGCAACTGAGCCCATGCTGAGTTAAAGAAATTAAAGATACAAGTACATTTACAAAAAGTACTTTAAAGAAAAATACTGAAGGAGTTAAAGAGCATTTTACATTTTTGTGCTGTGTATCTATCTGTTTGTCCGTTATTTAACTACTCCTAATTGGCCCAGCGACTGACCATGTAACAGTGATGGCCATTTTTTTTTTTTCATTACACTCCTCCATAGCGAGTGCTAGCACACTCTGAGGTACATAAGACGTTTATGTGCCCTCACCCCACACTGTGTGTATGTTCTGTTATAGAAAATTGAAGTTTTTCTTGTTTGTTTTGCGAAAGGATGTAGTGCTCTCTATGAATGTTGTTAACTGTAATTTACGTCAAAGATAATAAATGCTCAATAACAATAATAATATGGGGTGGAGGCCCTTACTTCAAACTATCATCCCACAAAGTTTGGTTGACAATACAAAGAGGTAGTGGCCAAAGAAGTGGCAGTAGAGGTGCTTTCTGTTACCTGCTTTCAATACCCAGCTCTTAATGTCCTTCCACACTGTTTCACATTTATTAAGTAATTGACAGTCATTGGCTGCAGAAGTGTCTTATGGGATGATGTTGCAAGGTCACAGATCAAAGTAGAAAGAAACAGCTCTTCATATCAGCTGTTGTTGTATAAGCTTAATCTGAGTTTAAAGTTACCTTGACCATCTCAAAATGTAAACCATGTTTTAAGTATATACACAGAGTTCTTAAAGCTTATACAAAACTTTGAGTGAGTTAATAATGAATACTGTAATGTTATAAATAAATTGTGTGAAAAATTAGGATCTTTGTGTTATTTATCATAGTATCCACCCACACATTTTTTTTAAGTTCATAACTCAGACAACAGATGGGTACCTGAGCTTGTGAAGTATTAAATCTCAAGAGTTGTAAGATAAAAAAATTTGAAACACAACTATATTTTAACATTTAACACACAGAACATATATGGCAAACGAAAGATCTCTTTTTCTTATATTTTAGGCAGTGTAAATTGAGACCAAAGTGTCGTTCCTTTAAAAAAAACAAGGCAGGAACAGTCCATTAGAAATTTCAATTCCATCTTTTTTTTTTCATTAGAGCAAAAATATCATAAAAAAGATAGAATCACAATCATATCAAATCAGGAAAAAAAGTATTTTTATCACAGTTGATAACAAAGGCATAATAATCAAACTAACTAAAAAAAATCACCTTTTTTTTGCTTTTGACATCTGTCAATATGATCTTTCAACTGAATTCGAACCTGTCTTTCTGTAGGTTGGTCCCTGATGAACGGATGTTTAAGAAGTTGGTCTGTGTATGGTCGATGTTGGTAGTCCTTCACAAGTACTGTTTCTATAAAACTATGAAACTTTTTTGACCACTTTTTGTATTTCAGACGGGGAGATGGGTTACGAGGAATTAGAAACAAAGCTCGCATTGGATGCATGTCACATAAGGCTATAGCAAACATAGAAAAGATTCGCTGTTTTACACAAACTCTTTAATACTCTTTTAAATTAGTGATATTTTAAGTCATATATAATCAATATATTTAATAATCAAACACACACACACACACACACATAAAATGAGAGCTTATCTTACAAGACTGGGTTAAAAAAAAAGAACATCAAAGAAAGTATACATTTTTATAGGAATTTTTTTCTCTCTTAAACACTATATGAATTTCATTGGTGGTCTCAACGTATGGTGTAGCCGATATATACCCACCTTCTCATGAAAAAAAAAAATTAAGTTGTGTCTAGAGCTGTTTTTTATAATCTCTTTACCCCTTGCCACATTGGATTATGTCTACCCCATTCAGAAAATTGTGGAATTTCCAGTGATGTATTGAAATTACAAATACATTTTTGAATATTAGATAACTGTGCAAATGAATTAACTTACGTGGTTGAGATTCTGCCATTTCAAGAGCAGTAATTCCCAAAGACCAAAGGTCACTCTAGATAAAATGAGATAAAACTTTTAAGACTAGTTAAAAAAACATTTTTATTGAAAATTGTATATAACCATGATTGATAACTTGTCCCACTGATTTTTTGGAATTCATAATCAAACTGAACCTCCTAGAAACAAATAAAAAAATTATTGATTGAAAATTTCAGAGATCAACAATTATATAATAAAATAGTTGCTTCTTAAAATATTTCAGGAAGTGATCATTAGTCAAAATGTCTGGGTATTATTTCTTAACTTAATCCAACAACATGAAAAGCTAATTATAAAGTAAAACTGAAGTTGATATTATCATTAAGATCACCAGAAAGGTTAAAATGTTTGTTTTATCTACTGGAACAGCACTCACTCGGTTATCATAAGTGGCATCAGGATTTTCATCACAAGCAATAACTTCAGGTGCCATCCTGTGAGAAAATATCAACTCTATATAGTATTCACCTATAAAAATAGGTATCAATCAAACTGCATGACAATAACAAGTGATTTTATATATCTTAAATTTTCAAGATGCGAGTTGACACACATTTGACCAAAAGTACTGAGACAGCACAGCTTGATATAGAGGCAATGTTTCACTCTTTTGACCCCAGTTTATAAGAGAATGGGACCACCTTTGAAACTGTTTCAATATGGACTCTGTTATGAGCCATCAACTGGTTCTCCACATCTGATGGTACAGCCAGTTACTTTTCTTGAAGAACAGTTTCAAGTATCATGAGATTTTAGGGTCTGTCCTTCAGATGACATTCCAAAATAACCAGAATGGTTCAACTTGAATTAGGGCAATGCTCTGGATTGGTCAAGACAAATTCTTGACACCAATTGACTGCAAAATGGCAGTTTATGATATTTATAAGCTCTAAGAAACAGTGTATCACAAGGTTATTAAGCTAACTGATCCACTAATAGATGGGAATGTGCATTCTCAATACTTTTGTAATATAACCTACATATCCATAGGTTTTAATTTCTGTTACAAAAAATATATATTACCAGTAATCTTCCACTATAAAAAGTTCATTAAGCAAATCAAACTGACTTAATTTTTTTGTATATATAAAAGAATCAAATGAAGCAAGTTGTGTAAATGAACCAATTAAGCTTTGAATATGGATGACAGTAAAAACAAACAATGATTTTTATGCACAATGATATTTAGTGTAGAAAACGTACTACATATTTCAACAGGACCTTAGTATGTCTTTTTCAGAAGTCATGGTCACTTAAGTTAAAGTTCATACTTGAATAAACATATATAGAAACATCCAAAAGCCTTTTAAATGATGAGGGCTCCAGATTCTCGAGTACTAACATTATGATCACTTAACTAGCAGTGAAAATGATATACTAAGGTACTGTCAAAAGATGTAATTTTTTTCAATAAATAATATAAATATTGTTCTTACAAACTGTTGATTGTTAATTTATTACTATATTAGAATAATGTGCTTCCTTACATATGTATTTTGAGAATGGTTGTTTTTCTCCTAATAATTCACTGTGTCTTGATAGTTGTAGAAATATGAATACAATTTCCTATAGCCATGTTTTATTAGACTTATTATGATAAGATTTTTCTCCGAGTTTTACTAAATATATTATGGTAATATCATTCTCTGACTATGTTTTGTTAAAACTGCTCAAAAATTTCATTTAAGTCAGATGGTTCAGAAAAACCAACAACTGAGCCAATGCACGGCATTTTTCTGGACACCTTGTGAAATAATTGAGACCACATAACCATGGATATTTAAAAATAAAATTATTCCTTTCCAAAAAAGCTTGCAAAATTATAAATAAATAACATAGTTAAAAAACCCAGATAAAATAAGATATACCACTTCATTCTCAGAAGCATTTTTGTTAATCTTCGAAGTATCTCAACAATTATAGTGTAATATGGAATACAGCTTACCAATATGGTGTGCCAATGAACGTGTTTCTCCTCCCAATTGTCCTATCAAGCTGGGCACTCACTCCAAAATCAACTAAAAATTTAAAACCATATTTCTTTTAAATATAATTTTTAGAGAGATTTGCAAAAATACAAGAATTTCTACATTTGAACTCTGTTGATTTTTTAAAAAAATTATAATCATACAAAACAATTAATTTACACTGGCAGCTTAGAATAAAAGGATTTAGTCCTAACTTAAACCTTACAGGATGTTCTTAAGAGTAAAATCTGAAAATAATATTATCAGTGAATATTCAACTAACAAATGTATGCAATTTTATCTGTAAGTTTTAATTGCTATGCCTAGTATTTCATGATATATGGTTATTCTCTGAAATCATACTGTAGTAATTAACTTAAATTTGATCGTATCCATATACTGTTAACAACTAATACAAAATGTTTTTCACTGAAGTATGTTTAATGCTAGTTTTTCATGGTTATTTTTTGCTTGTTTGTGTTCTGAACATATTCACAACACTTTTAAAGCAGTTCTTGATGCAGAGTCATAACACAAATTAAAAATACTCTATTATGAAGTCACAGAAAGATTGCCGTTTCACAAACATAAATTCATATATAAAAGCAGCAGGCCAATTACTTTATTTACTCTACAAAAACAAATATCTTTAAAGGAAGCATTGCAATCATAAATATTATTTTCTCCTAATAAATGATTCACCTAAATTGTTTTTTTTATACAAAGTACAATATTCATATCCTTCACAACATTTCAAAGCATTAACCCTATCACAATGGGTCATGTGTCAAAGGCCATGTCGTCACGCTTGTTGACTTGCATTCAAAATTTTATTGAACTACTATTTCATGAATT